CCGAATGATTTCCGCATACTCCCTCGTGAATGGTTCGCATAATCTGTCTAGCTTATGCAGGGTAGCACACTTCAAATATAGACCGGAAAAGGAGCGTCTATACAACTGATCATGCACAATGGCATACTTTGTCGCGTTAGACCTAATTTTTCTTGCCTCGTCCTTACGCTCGGGGAGTGCACCATTATGTATGTAAGCCATGATTGGATCAATCCAGCTCGGCTCATATGGTATAACATTAACATGTTGAGTGCTCGGATTAGGCAGCTCTTCAAAAATGGAAGGTTGGATCAGTATGTCGACCGGGATGACCCTAGCTAAACTATCTCCAAAACTAGATGCACTACAAGCCAAGCGGTCAGCATCTTCGTTATACTCTCTCGGCAATTGAATAAACCTGATCTGATCAAAGGCTTTCGCCTTACGCAGAACCGCAATTCGGTATGCTTCCATGGTCTTATCCTTGGCCCCATAGTCCTCATTGACTTGTCGAATGACTAGTTGTGAATCACTATAAGCAATCAAATTCTTAATCTTCAGTTATTTAGCCAACTTCAGCCCAGCTATCAACGCCTCGTATTCTGCCTCATTGTTGGTTGCGTTGAACTCTAGTCTTATCACTTGGCTCAGCATAGTTCCTTCTGGTGTTTGCAATTGAATTCCAATCCCGGCCCCCATTTGATTCAAGGAGCCGTCCACGAAGAGCTTCCACCAGGAACAATTATAATCATCCACCACATCTTCAGCATCACAGTCAAGTAGGAAATTCGCCACCATTTGACCTTTGATTGCCGTCCTGGGCTCGTATGCGATATCAAATGAACTCAATTCAATGGCCCACTTGGTCATTCTCCCCGATAGGTTCGGTTTGTGCAGGATCATTCTCAAAGGGAAAGTTATTAAAACGACGATTGGATGAGATTCAAAATAATGTCTAAGCTTCATTTTTGCGTTGACCAGCGACAAGATCATTCGTTCGGCCCTAGAGTACCTTTTTTTCGGTTCAGACATTGTTTTGCTAACATAAAACACCGGGAACTACTTGCCTTCTTTGCAACGGATCAGAACAACTCTAGTTGCTATACTGGATACCCCGAGATATAGAAAGAGTTTCTCATTCGGTTCTGGAACAGACAGAACTGGAGGATTACGCATGTACTCCTTCAGGCTGGTTAGCGCCTGCTGTTGCTCATCCCCCCAGGTTTGTCTTTCGTGCCCTCGAATTGTATCAAAGAAAGGTTTACAGCGGTCCGAAAGCTTGGAAATAAATTGGCTCAGTGCAGCTATCCGGCCTGTGAGTGCCTGCACCTCCTTAATTGTCTTTGGCTCTGCATTTCTGAGCAAGGCTTCTGCCTGCGCTGGGCTGACCTCAATTCCTCTATGATTGACCATATGTCCCAAGAATTGACCGGAGCTTACGCCGAATGAGCATTTGGCCGGATTAAGCTTCATCCCATACTGGCGTAACACACCGAACACATCTTGCAGGTGCGATAAATTAATGCTCTTCTTCTTACTCTTGACCACCATATCATCAATATAAGCCTCGATAGTGCTTCCCATTTGGCCCTTAAAAATCTTGCTGATCAGCCTCTGATAAGTAGCTTCAGCGTTTTTTAATCCGAATGGCATGACTTTGTAGCAATAAGTCCCTCGTTCAGTAACAAATGAAGTTTTCTCTTCATCAACTGGGTCCATAGGAATTTGATTATAACCGGAATAAGCATCCAGGAAGGTTAACCGCTCATATCCTATGGTGGCATCTACTATTTGATCAATCATAGGCAATGGGAAACTATCCTTTGGGCAGGCTTTATTCAGGTTAGTGAAGTCAATGCATACTCTCCATTTCCCATTCTTTTTCTGCACTACAACAACGTTGAGAGCCAGGCCGGGTACTGAACTTCTCTGATGAATCCGGCTTCAAACAGCCGATCAACCTCCTCAGCTATAATCTGATTTCGTTCTGGAGCAAATCTTATTTACTTCTGCTTCACTGGCTTTGCATTCGGATCCACATTGAGGGAATGACAGGATACAACAGGATTTATCCCTGGCATATCTGAATGGCTCCATGCGAATACATCCCCATTCCGAATCAAGAAATTAGTCAACTCTAGTCTTTCTTCTTCAGTGAGTCTGGTTCCCACCCTTGTTGTTCGGTCTGGTTTCTCATGGTCAATCTTCACTTCATGAAGGGGTTTTATGGTCAGAACTGGTGGTTCCTCCTCCCCATCCTTGCTGGGAGGAGGGTTCTGTAATTGCTATTTTGGACTGGCTGAGCGGATGGGATTTTTTCCTTTTCCAGCAGATTTCAAAGTTACTGAATAACATTCTTTAGCCGCAACCTGGTCCCCGTGTATATCTATTACCTTGGTCCCATCTGGACCCAAACATCGCATCACTTGATGCAAGGTTGACGGGACGCCCTGAATTCTGTGAATCCATCCTCTGCCCATCAAGAGGTTGTAGGATGGATGAATTTCTACGACCACAAAACTTTCAGTCAAAACTCGCTCAGCAGTTTGTACTGTCAATTCCACCATTCCAATGGGTTCCACTCGCTTCCCATCAAATCCGAGCAACAGATTTCCTGTGGGTTTGAGTTTTTCGGGTTCGATCTCCAGTCGGTCGAACGTCACCCTGGGCATGACATTCGCACTACTTCTTGGATCAATCAGGACTCTCCGAACCAGGCATTCTGCAACCGTCAGACTGACGACTAGTGGATCTTCATGAGGAATCTGAACGCGTAACAGGTCCATTTTATCAAACTTTATCGATGTGGACGCATTTTGCTGGTGCAAAGCATGCACACTGCCAATTCTTCTTTTCAGCTGGGCCTGGCGTAACCTCGTTCTGAGCAACTCTTCTGACTCCGTCGTTTGTTCAGGCCGGCCATGAATTGCGTTTATAATCCGGATGGGCTGAGAGTTGTGTTGGTTCGGCCTCTGGTTCCGCTTGATTTGCTCAGTCGGGCGGTTATACTCTTGCGCCGGACCTTGAACATAGCTTGCAAATTCCCCCTTTACGATTAGCATCTCTACCTGCCTCCTTAGGTTCCTGCATTCGTTAGTCTGATGTCCAAAATCACTATGGAAAGCACAATGTTTAGTCTGATCCCTCTGTTCAAGAGGTTGCCTGATTGGCAGAGGAGGACGAAACTTATCTTTGTTCTCCTGATATAGCCTTGCTAAGGTGACTCTGAGTGGAGTGACTGATTCCTCCTCCCTAGGCCTCTTCTCCGCCTTCCATGAGGGGTGACGTTGCGGTTGAGCTTGTTTTTGCCGGATCTTGGCTTTGGACTTCTCCTCCATCGAAATAATTGACGTCTTCCTTGAATTAGCTGCTTCTTCCTCCTCAAGACGAATAAAACCGTCAGCTCTCTAGTTCAGCTCATCCATTGTCTTTGGCGTATTAACCACCAAGCTGGTGTGGAATGGCGTCCCCCGGTTCATTGTGAGTTTAAATGCTTGGACTGCTGTTGACGAGTGACACTCCATTACCATGCTTTTAACGAGGTTGAACCGGGTGAGAAAAGCTTGGAGCCGTTCATCCTCATGCTGCTTCATTGTGAAAAGGCTCGATACATCCTTAGCCGGACGTTTATTCCATTAGTACTGGCTTATGAACTTATCGCATAAGTCCTGGAAACTGGCGATTGAGCCCTGAGCCATATTCTTGAACCAATTGAGAGCTGGTCCAGCCAAGCTCGTAGGGAAACATTTGCACATCAAAGGATCATTATTAGTATTCAAAGCCATTTTCAACTGAATATGGTATATGTGATCGACCGGATCGGTTGTTCCGTCAAACAGAATGAAGATCGGCATGGAAAACTTCTTCGGATTCGGCGCGTTCATAATTTGATCAGTGAACGGCGATGCGACCGTCCTTGCTGATGAACGCAATGCTTCGTTTTCCCTTGAAAACCGTGACGAAAATCCCCGATCGGCAGATCTCCTTTCTGAGCTATGGTAATCAACTGTTGCTAATGAAGGTCGGTATGGCGGATCGAACGACCTGTCTTCCGCAAATTCACTCCGCCATGGTGACGCAATCCTATGTTCATATGCCGGTGCTTCCTCCCTCATAATCCGTTTGTGATGCGGTTCTAGACGAACAGATCCTTCTCGATCCTCTACTCGACCGACATTCGGAGGCAGATTACCGATTATAACTTCATCACGACGTGGACCACCACGATTGACATCTTCTGGATCACCTTGACGATCAGCTTCGGACGGTAAAGCTCCCTCTCCTTCAGGAGGTAGCCTCGGAATTGCAGGAGCCTCACGATGCTCCATTCCAGCTCGTAGCTCTGCATTTTCTTTCCTCAAAGCATCGATCATGTTCATTAGCTCATCGAGCTTTGTCTGCTGGCCGTTCTCCAAAGGATTCGAGTTCGCCTCTCCGATCATCATTCCAGATCGGAGCAAAGTCATCAACTGCAGACTTCTTGACCAAATTAGAGTTCCGCTAACGCGCACACACCAGATCTGAACTTACACTTGCTGAATTCAGTCCACTACTGGCCGGATTCAATAATCACAACAGATTACAATCGCGCAGTTCACCGGATCAAGCACGGATCTGATCTGCTTGGATCGGACGCCAATTTTTCGAAATCAACCGGAGCCTAGACTCGTCAAGACAGATCGTATTATTACCAATGTTGATTCAGCTTTCGCAGATTAATCGTCTTCCTCGCAGAATGCGTTGAATCGATCCGATTTGGAATGATACCAATCAATCCTTACAAGGAATTTCCCCTTCTTACAGAGAGAGAACTTCTTCACTCCAATTCTCTTTTTCCCTCTCAATTTCCCTTATTTATAGACGGTTACAACCTCCTTTGGCCTGGGCCTTATCTACTTCCCTTTGCCTGGACTCAACTTCTCTCATTTTAACATGGGCTTCTGAAATGACTTTATGGACCTGGGTCCATCCCGCGCGAACTTGCTCCATCCCGTTTGTCCACACCCGACCCGTCCTCTGCAATGCGGATCACACCAAACCCGGGTCATTTTGGTGTCCTCAGCATGCAAATTTAATTCACTCTCATGCTTACCAAAAAGTATCTATTTGTATGTACTATATATATGAGGTTCTTCTCTCTCTCTCTCTCTCTCTCTCTCTCTCTCTACCTCAATTTCTCACATCAAATTGTTTTTTTTTTTCGGGTTTAAAATTCAGGAAAATATGTATTTGGTATGAGATTTTAATTATATCGCAAGCTTACTGGAAAACCAATATATATTTGTGTATCTAATTTGTATGAGGTTCTTCGATTTCTGTCTCACTTAAATTTTTTTTTGGGTGGTTTAAAATTTCAATTAACAGAAAAATATCTAAAATTTAATTCACTCACAAGCTTACTGGAAAACAAATATATGTATATATATATATATATTTGATAATGAAATTAATTAATTTCCAAAAAAATTCAATTAACAGAAAAATATCATATATATTTGTGTATCTACTTTATATGAGGTTCTTCGATTTCTGTCTCTATGTGTCTCCCTTAATTTCTCACTTAAATTTTTTTTTGGGTGGTTTAAAATTTCAATTAACAGAAAAATATCTAAAATTTAATTCAATCGCAAGCTTACTGGAAAACAAATATATAAATATTTGATAATGAAATTAATTAATTTCCAAAAAATTTCAATTAACAGAAAAATATCTACTATATATGAAGTTCTTCGATTTCTCTCTCTGTGTCTCCCTCAATTTTTCCCAAGCTGTATCTACTATATATAAGGTTCCCTGTGTCTCCCCTTAATTTCTCACTTAATTATTTAGATTAGATATTTTATTCAATCGCAAGCTTACTGGAAAACACATATATTTGATATTGAAATTAATTAATTTCAAACAACCTACATGTAGGTACCACCAATCAAGGAATTACAAAGAAGATCAAATCTGCGCTTCTACACTTGAATACATATTACCACAATGATCAAGTTCTAATTCAGTTTTGGGTACCCATCAGAACAGAAACTGGGTGTTTTCTTTTAACTTCAGACCAACCTTTTGGTCTTACTTATCTTGATGAAGGACTTCTCGAGTATAGGAAGCACTGTTTGAATTATAAAATTAACGTGGATGGGGAAGAAGAACAGCTTGGACTCCCTGGTCGTGTGTTCCAGAAAAAATTGCACGAGTACATCCCAGATGTGCAATATTACTCTATCCAAGAGTACCCACAACGCAGTTTTGCTCTAACTTGTGGTATTTCATCGTCTTCTGCTTTGCCGGTGTTTCACTCCTCTTCCCCAGAATGTGTTGGAGTACTCGAGTTCGTAACTAATGCAGCAGATTTCGATGTTTATGACATTATGTTTGATCCGTTTTTGATGCATGCACTTGAGGTTTGTTGAAACCCCTTAAATTTTTATTTATATTTTTCTAATTAATTTGCTTTTTTCAGCATCAAATAATATGATTTTTCCTAATTTTCATTAATTTAAACCTTACAAGATTATTCACTTCACTTCTCTTGCAGAATGCAGATTTGAGAAGTTCGGCATGTGATTGTTTAATTTCTTCGGTAAGTTAACAGCTGTAATATGCAAATGTGTTATATATATGTATATATATATATATGATGCTATTTCTTAGAAATTTATATGTTTTCAGTGCAATCTGTTCTCATCAACTCGCAATCCAGGTTGCAGATGAAAATGATTCAGATGATGTGTTTCCACATATATTGGTTGAAATCTACTGTGGGTTGAAAGTTGTGTGCAGAACATACAAGCTACCTTTGGCTCTGGTGTGGGTTCCGTGCAAGCGTTTCAATACCATGGACAATAGCTCCGATGCTTTTGATGTACAAGTCTTGCACGCTGATAACAGAGCATCCTATCTTCTAGTAGATAATCTGGAGGAATTCTTGGGGTTTAGTGGGTGGAATAACTTACAAAAGGGGCAGGGAGTTGTTGGGAGCGCACATCGGTCACATAAACTATGTTTTTGCCGCGATATATCTCAGTTCAGCCTAACTGAGTACCCCTTACTGCCCATTGCACGCCTTTTTGGGTTGACTAGTTGTTTCGCGATTTACTTGCAGAGTACTTGCGCTGAAAATTCTGATTACATACTAGAGTTTTTTCTACCTCCTGAAACCACATATGTTGAAGACCCGACTACCTTCTTATCCTCTCTATTAGAAACAATGAGGCAACATTTCCCAAGCTTTAAGCTTCCTTCAGGAGAAGAACTCGGGGTTGAATTTTTTAAACCTCGCATGAATCAGGAACCTGCTTCTTTTCAATGCCAAAGTACTCCATCTCCATCTGGGTTTGGAGTCTTACATAATAGACAAGAGGCAAACTCAATTACTTTAGAGGAACTCAAGAAACATTTCGAAAAGAAACTTGGAGAAGTTGCACGGAAAGGTTACACACTAAACTTGGTCTTACTTATTTCAACTTTTGAATGTCTTGTTGTAGGACTGATATATTTTTCTTTTGCATTTACAAACTATATGAGTTTTTGTTATAGAATTTTTATTTTTGCAGTGAGCGGACCCAAGTGTAAGCGTAAATGTAGAGAAAAGGGAACCCCCTGCTGGCCACCGGGCAAGAGAAATAAGGCCAATGACTCTCTCTCTAGATGGGACCCTCTCTGTTCTGATTTGCCTGCTGAGACACTCGCGGCTACTGTTTCCCACATGACTCCACTGGTAACACCACCACCACCAGAAGCAAGGATGGTAATTATAATTGCAACCTACGGCAATGATATGATAAAGTTTAGATTATCTTTGTCGTCAAGAATTGTGGAGTTGGAAGAAGCAGTCTCCAAAAGGTTGAAGTTAAATGCTGGAACCTATGAGATCAAATATATGGATGATGCTGGTGATTGGATTTTAATAGCCCGTGACAAGGACTTGGAGGATTGTATAAGTGCTTCTAATTCATTGGGCATGAAAGAAATCAAAATGTCCATTGAGGGGCGGAGCCAAGATTTCATTTTAGGGGGGCGTGCCTGCGAAAAAAAAAAAAAAAAAAAAAAAAAAAAAAAAAAAAAAAAAAAAAACCCGTGGCAAAATCACAAAATTCTCTTTTGATTCTGTTGCCGACGATGTAGTTTAGAAGAATCAGAACCAAATTCGTGAGTAGCGATGCCTTTTTCGAGGTGTAATGTAAAGACAGTTTCTCCCAAACAACAAAACAACAAAAAGAACCATGCCGATCTCTTATGCTTCAAAATGATATTGAATGAGTAGAATGACTGAATCACCCCTCAACATGTGAAATTTTTTTTTTTTTTTGAGGTAGGCAAATTTGAAAATTTTAAAATATATATATATATAATAATATTCTTTTTTAAAAAATCTGAATTTCAGGGGGGCATGCGCCCTCCGCACTAGGTCCCTCCGCCCCTGGAGCCAATTGCCAAAGTCTCTCCACGCACTAGGTCCCGCCCTCTCCACCAACTTGACTAATTATGCATGTATGTTCCTAAACTATGTGTTGATGAAATCAATCAATTATCTCAGTTTCTATTTACTAGCTACCACTTTTGTTCTCTAAGATTGTTAGTCTTCTACTTGTTCAGTTTGGTGTTTCAAAGAGAAGGCCTTATTGGGATGTAATATGAAGCAACTTCTGATTTTGTTGTGTTTGTGGCCATGACATAAATGCAGTTGTTTGGCCTAGACTTGTCATGACATAAATGAACCTCAAACGATTCATTTGTTTCTTGTATTTTGATTAGGCATGTCAATCAAGTTTGTTTCTTGTATTTTGATTAGGCATGTCAATCAAGTATAAAATTTAAATGTTTGCAGTTCCAAAGGCTCTCTTGTCAAAACCGCAAGAACTGTTAGGCGATGCAACAACTTCAAGAATCCACTAGGTTGTACAAACACGCCATGTTCCTTGGTAAAATTCCTACCTACTAGAGGGATATTTTCTACTCGAGTGTAAGTGAAGTTTCCACTAATGATTGACCGATCACACATACACATGTATATTTTTCCCCCAACTATTGATTGACCGATCACACGTACATATGTATATTTTTTCCCATAATAAACGGGACGCACCCGCTTAACAAGGTCCTCCCCTTATTTGGTCGATAATGGAGCAATAAAAATACTAAAATGTTCTTCCTACAATTAAAATAAAAAATAATAAAAAATTCAGTTAATATAAAATGACTATCATGACCTTTATTAAACAAATTCAATTAAAGAAGTGCATTTTCGTATTTAAATAATAAAAAATAGTAAACAAAATTTAGTTAATGTAAAAATTCAGTTAAAAATAGTAAAAAATTAAGTCAAAGAAGGGCATTTTCAGTATTTAATATAATTAATTAGTCATGTGCGAGACACGTGATTTGTTAACTGTACTTTTCTAACGGTTGACTACTGAAAAACCTTAGTTTGTAACATTTTTAAATTTTTTTTTAAAAAAATTTGTTATTTGCTCAAAAAGTAAACCTTAGGGGTGTTTTAGATATTTAGCCCTTGATTAATTGACAGATCATGCATGTATATATATTTTTTCCTGGCAAACCCACACGCCTACTTTTGTCCCTATAGAAACTTGAATCTTTAACCTTCCATTTCAGAAGGTGAGGGTGATCCGACTAGGTTATTGACACTTTGAAATGCGATTGAACTAATATAGGAAAAAATGTGTAGACACGTATAAGTTTTGAACCTTTGACCTTTCGTTTGTATCTTTTTGCTCCAATGTGATTTCATTCAGGTAAGATAGATTGTGGATTGATGATTGGATGGTCGGAGACGACCGGTGAAGTAAGGATGCATTCTTGTAAGCTTTGCCTGGCTTCTCTGACTCCCCATTTTTTTTGGCACCCCTGGTATTTTTGTCATGTAGAAGGATAATGGCAACACCATTTCTGGCAAGCATTATAAGCAGTGCTGCAATTGAAGATATATATATATATATATATATATATATATATATAGATAGATTACGTAGAGAATTGAGAAGGGCAGTTTGGACCCTAAGATAGATTGGTGGCGAGTTCTTGTTCATCCGATGCGGCTGTGAGTGCTGGTTCATATGTTGATTTTTTAGGAATGTTTTAGAATTTGACTTCACGGAAAGTTTTCATGAGTTGAGTATAGGCATTTTTTGATTTATGCAGGCTGATTTTGTTATATAAATTGAATTGTATAAATTGATTTTGATATTAAATTGTATAGAGATCCTGTCAGTTTAATATGTTAATTTCTGAAAAACCAAACTTTCTCTTATTTTTTCACTATTCCTTTCTGTAATTGTAATCTCTCTCAGTATACGTGTATAAATGTGTATGTATGTGTATACAGGTATCTGATAATCTGTGAATGGGTTTTTGATTTGGTAATAGGGTTTTGGTGTGGAAAGCTCACCAAAGGAAGTGCCAACTGGACCTGACCCTCTTCACCACCACAACAGTCCTTCCAGACCTTGATCGATCATCATCACCTCTCTGTATGTCTGAAGTAGGGTTGCAAGTTGGGCTAGCCCAACCTAGTCCAGTCCTAACCCAATCTCAACCTCAACCTGAATCGGGTTGGGTTGGGTCAGCCCGAATTGTTCCTAACATGGGTTATGGTTATAACCCACGTCAAATATTTTCGAGCGGTTCAGGTCATGTTAGGTTGGGTCGACGGGTTGATTTTTTTAATTTTTTTTTTTTCGGGAATTTATATATTATATATATTTGATTATATTATTATTTAAAAACAAATTATATATATATTATATTTGTTTATTTTTAGGGCAAATCATTTTAGCCTCCCCATTCACCTCCATCTCTTTTCTCTCTGAACTCGCCCCCCCTCTCTCTCCCTCTCTCTTTCTCTCCAACTGCAAACTACAAAATCTACAAAAATCAGAAGTTCAAAACCCATATATTTCAGTTTTATCTATCTGCCTGCAAGAATCAAAATTTTAAAACCCATATCGGCATATCATTTCAGATTGTTCAAAAAATCAAAACCTAGATCTTTCAGTTTCCATCGCCCGTTGTTTTAGTTCGAGTTCGCTGTTCGCAACTTTAGCTACTATCTCTCAACTCTCAAGCTCGCCCCCTTCTTTCTCTGCATACGGGGACGGCGGTAGAGAGAGAAAGAAGAGACAGGAGAGAGAAAGGAGAAAAAAAAAATGAAATTTTTTAAAAAAATTTATTTTGGGTTTTGGGTTGGGTTCAGATTGAGCCTGAGCCCAACCTGAATATGTCTGGGTTTTGACAAAACTCAACCTGAACATGAACTCGATTTGTGAACTTAAAGCCCAAATTTCAAAATTTCGGGTTGGGCTTGGATTGGGCTGGGTTAGCCCGCCCAAGTTGCAGCTCTACCCATCACCCAACACCTCCACCGCCCCACCCATCACCACCACTCCCACCCAATACCTTTATCACTACCAAAGACTTTAGGCAAACGGAGGCGAAAGCCAGAGTGCACTAGCAGCAAACTCATGCTTGAAAGCAGAAAACAGACCCAATCTATATAAACAATGTATTCTACATATACATAGGTGTCTAATACCTTGTCATGTATAATCAGACATTTAAATCAATTAATCAAGTTTCTTAGATTATATGGATATCGATAAACATAAGGAAATACCGGATTGGGCTAGAACTTTAAAAGGAAGAAATGTTGGGTTGGGCTGGTCTGGACTTTGGTGAGGTAACGAATTTGGATAAAAAGGTTGAGTCAATATAGATTGCTCACTATACTGATTTTGTTGTTTATTTATTTTTTATTATTGATTGTTAATGAAGGAGAGGTGTTGGAGTCTCTGTAACTAGGCTTTGAATCGCAACTTCTCATTCTCTCTCTCACCTCACTGTTTCTCTCACTAGATCGTCCCTCCACCCTACTCAATTCATCCACCACCTCACTCTTTCTCTCTCTAAAAATGAATTTTCTTTTTTTAATCAGGAACAAGAACGAAAGAAAGGATCTGATAGACCCATCACAATTTTAGTTTGGCTCCCCTGTTTGGCTGTTTTGTACATGTGTCTATATTTTGTGTATATATATCTATATATATATATATAGATATATGTGTATATATTTACTACATATATGTTTGGCTGTTTTATATATTTATTTAGATATATATGTATGTATGTGTGTAATTTTGAGGAGTTGGTTTTTGTGTGGAGGTGGTGCGAATGGCGATTGGGGATGATGATGGTATGAAAAAGTAGAAGAGGAAGGTGTATGTTGGGGTAGTTTTGGTCACAAAAATAGTCAACAGAAGGTCAAAGGGTAGCGGTCATTTAACACCTCAAAAGTACTATGGTCCTAAAAATTGACATTTGAGGTGTAAGTGAAATGTTAAATAACTAATTCAAATATAAGTAAAATCTAAAACCAAAATATTAATCTAACTGCAAAATGACCTAACCTCATGGGATCTGTAATTTACCCTAATTTATATTGAGATATGTATTAATAAAAATAAAAAATAAAAAAAAACACACACACACACACAAATATATCTTAATATTTTTATATATATATTTTTATAATTTGAACTGAAATAGTTCCATATTCTTGTTTGAGTAAGGATTTTGTAGCTTCTTGCTTCGTTGGCGGCAAAAGAGAGAGAAATAACACATTCATACATTTTAAAGGCACCTTAATTTCATAATTGAACAGAATGAAGAAGATATATTCATACATTCTCTGCACCAATTACTTTGGTTAGTGTAAAGCAATTTAACAAGTCCACCTAAACCTTTCGATCCCAAACTCCACAAAGCCCAAAACGCTAATCAATTTTACGTCAATTTTCTCCACAGGTTTAACTTGAAAATCCTTGGAGCTCAACTAGTTTTTTACAACCATGCTGTTGATCTCAATAGGTTTGGCGGCGTACTCAGTTACCACTTCTAGTGACCTGCACAAGTATATATTCAAGTACCATAGACTCACTCAAAGCTCTTAAATTTTTTATTTTTTATTTTTATATATTTTTTTGTCATTCCAAAGGCACAAAGGCCATCTTGAAGCAAAGCAATAAAATGAAGATTAGCCTCCAGATTTGTGGAGAAAACAGAGTTAAAACTCTGTAACGGAACCATCATGGGAGAAACGCAGCAAACAGGAGTGACCCAAAGGTCTGGCCATCATCAAGGAAACAGCTCCAAAGCTACAATCACAAGGCGCTCTGACATCCAAAACCCCGCACAAGATCAAATCAAGGAGAAAAAGATCAAATCTAGGAGGGGCAAAACCAAAATCGATATAGATCAGAGATCTAGTTAGATAAAAACAACAGATCCGTCCATGTGACTATATGAGCCGAAAACGAACTAAATATGAGTTAAAAAAAAAATACCCACGGAGTGCACTTATTAAAATACGCAGAGTTTATTACAGCCGTGGGACCGTGGGAGGCAGCTATCACCTCCCCACCCCTATGGAAGGGAGAAACCAGAGCCAGAGGGAAGAAGATGAACTGGGTGGGTCACTGAGTTCAATTCGGTCACTTTTCCTGGTCGTTATGGGTCACTTCGGTTGAAATTTTGAGTAACAAATAGCGACCCAAGGCTTGAGAGAAGGACGAGGATGGTCCCCATCCATGGAGGATCCAAATTGCTGCTGGCGACTCGTTTTGGGTCAATTCATGGTTCCAAGTGGTTGATTCATGGTTCAAGGTGGTCAATATATGCATGGTTCCAAGCCGCTTCCTTGTGCAAAAATAGATTTTCTATTCAATCCGGTGACTCTACGCCGGTGACTCCACATCGGCAGTAAGGTTGGGCAAGGAAGAAGAACAGTAAAAGAAAAAAAAAAAAGAAAAAGAAAAAGAAAAAAGAAGAAGGTATTTTTGTAATTTAAAAAATAACAATTTTTAGTTTTTAATTTAACATTAAATAGTAAGGTCAAATTTGTCATTTCACAGCCCGATTAATGGGTCAGACTTGAATATTGGGGTAATGTGATAACTTTATAATAGTGTTGGGGTTTTTAAAAACAGGTGGGGATTTAATGATTATTTTTTTTAAATAATGGAGTTTTTAGATTTAAACCCTAATTTTTACTGGAAACACAAATGCAGTAACCCTTTGTAATAATAAATTAATAAGTCATTCCATTAGAGGTACAGAAGCCACACCTTCAGAGACACCAAAAAAATTTACCTCCGCATTTCAATATTATAAAATCAAGATACTCTCACACAACAATTTTTAGTTTTTAATTTAACATTAAATAGTAAGGTCAAATTTGTTATTTCATAGCCCGGTTAACGGGTAGGACTTTGATATTGGGGTAATGTGATAACTTTATAATAGTGTTGGGGTTTTTAAAAATAGGTGGGGGTTTAATGATCATTTTTTGAAAGTAGCAGGAGTTTTTAGATTTAAACCCTAATTTTTACTGGAAACACAAATGCAGTAACAGTAACCCTCTATAATAATAAATTAATAAGTCATTCCATTAGAGGTACAGGAGCCACACCTTCAGAGTCACCAAATAAGTTGTCATACCGCCAACTTTGGGTACGTGCACTGATGCCAACAGGATGATGGCAGAGGAAGTAGGCACCTGGCCTCATCACCTGATACATTGACAAATCACAAGAAGGATAGGTACCCTTCTCTTCTTCCTCAAACACAACATGGATTCCAAACTCCTTTACCTTAACACTCCCCGAATACTCAAAACTGCTCACTGAAACATTCACTTCGTCGCCAGCTTCCATAAATTGATTCACAATATTCCAATGGCTTAACCGTACCATCTCCTCGCCAACATCTGGAATGCCCATGACTGTTGGGCAGTATGTCCACTTAAGATTCTTTGTCCTATTACTCACTTTAATAATTAAAAGTCGTCGCTCCAATAGTCAAGGAACCGAAAAAAACATCCATGGGAAAATGCATAGACAACACATACATTCAATCCTTGGATCTTTAAATTAGGAAATGAAGAAGGTACCTTAAAACATATTGAAGATCCCATGCTCTTCGTGCTGAACCATCCTGAAACTTCACTACCAGGGAGAAAAGTGCTAAATATACCCAATTCATACAGTCCCTGCAGCATGGAAATCATAATTTTAACTCTTACCAGTATGTGTGTCAGTGTGAGTGTGTGTGTGAGAGAGAGAGAGACGGAAGAGGGAGTGCTCTCACTTGCAGGGGAACTTTTCTTTCAGTAAACGTTATGTTATTCAACAAAGTAACTTCAATATTTCTTAGGAATTCCAAGTTGGACAAGCCCAAATTGCTGATCATTGCATCATCAAAGTTTCCAATGGGTTCTAACTTGAACATCCCCTGAACCTCAGTTAGTTTGTCACATCTATATGCAGACAAATCCAATGAATTCAACAGGTTTGGGAAGATTTGTCATCATTTCGAATGAACTGCATTTGTATAAATGCAAGTCCCTTGAACTCATTGGAAGCTCCGGAAGTAACTGGAGTGTTTTGCACTTGCCTAAC